ATTTTTTCCCTCCCGCCTTTCGATCGTTGGATTTCAGCTGAGAAAAAAGGAACCGCCGCATCCTATAAGAGTGGCGAAGACGATCGACGTGATAGCAAGAATCACCTTCCCGGTCGCCTACTTCATGTTCCTCACCTTTTTCTTCATCCACTACAAAGGCACTTCGTAGACCGACACCGAGGAGGCAAACGGGGATTCAACCCCGTTCATCATCAACCGAGACACGTGTTTCCCTTTTTCGCGTGACGACGATATTTTTATTTCGATTCAATTTACGGAATTAATTGACGGAGGAGGAGGAGGAGGAGGGAGCGGGGCAAGGAAGTTGAACGTGGTTGAGCGGGGGGGGGGGGGAAAAGTGTCTCTTGTCTCCGCTCCGAAAAGGAAAGAAAGAAAAGAAAGAAGAAGAAAAATACGAATCTGAAACATTGTCGGGAGGGAGAGGAAAAAAAAGAAAAGAAAAAAGAAAAAAAAAGAAAGTGTTTTCGAAAAAATCGGATATTCAAAGCAAAGTTGATATCGATCTCGTCGATATCGTGACGTTTCGTGAAAAAAAAAAAATAAATAAAAATAAAGTATACACCGATAGAATACGAAAAAGATCGGCTTAAAACGGCGAAGGATCGTATTATTTAGCTCGTCTTTTCTTTGGAAGGAAGAGGAAAGGAAAAAAAAAAAAAAAAAAAAAGGAAAAGAAAAAAAAAAAAAAGGAAAAGAAAAAAAAAAAAAGAGAAGCGAAGAGAAACACTCGAATTGATGGGGACCCTCCCCTCTTCCCCAGTTTTTTCTCCCATGGGATAATTCTTTTTAAAACACCCCCCTTTTTCGAAAAAAAAAAAAAATAAATAAAAATAAAGTATACACCGATAGAATACGAAAAAGATCGGCTTAAAACGGGGAAGGGTTTTTTTTTTTGGCTCGTCTTTTTTTTGGAAGGAAAAGGAAAGAAAAAAAAAAAAAGAGAAGCGAAGAGAAACACTCGAATTGATGGGGACCCTCCCCTCTTCCCCAGTTTTTTCTCCCATGGGATAATTCTTCTTAAAAGAATTCTCTTTATCGAAAAAAAAAAAGCTTAAGCCCGACGAATAATAATCGACAAAAGGCGGACAGACGAATAGGGATAGAGAGCCAGAGAGCGAGAGAGGGAGCGCATGTGCGTGTATGCGCGCGAGTATGTGATGAGCATGAATGAGAGGGAGAGAAAGAGAGAGAGAGAGAGAACGAAGAACGTGATTTTTACGATATTTTCTTCTACTTATCAGATAATGACGTCACTAATTCAAGGATGCTTTTGAAAATTAGCTGAAAAGAAAAGAAAAGAAAAGAAAAGAAAAGAAAAGAAAAAAAAAAAAAAGAAATCAAATTTACTTATTAACTTAAGGAATGTTATTATATACTTGTAATCTCACTATATAAAAATAGGTAAGGTCGATGTAAGTGTCGTCCATGAAATCGCTAACTCGTGATTCGCCTTTTACTTAAATATCGACCTTTTTTCTGTACTTTATCGATTACGATAACCGTGGCAAAAATCAACCGTGATTGCAAGTCTTAGTCTCTATATTCGTAGACCTTTAAAAAGGAGGGAAAAA